TTCTAAGTAGCAAATGAATCAAGGTGGTGTTATTGTAAGGAGACAACCGCTTTTGCTTTCACTACTTATTTAATGAAATTAAATAAATGGGTTTAGTCATCTGCATTTGAGAGATTAGGAATAAAAAATCAAGACCTTCCAGTCAGTTTTAAACAAGATGTAAGGCTGACTTCTCCTTATAGAACCTCTACACTAATTTCAGTTGTGCTAATCCTGATTTACAACAGTGTAAAAGAAGGTAGGTTGATCAGACCAAACCCTTGGCTAAAACAAACTGACATACTTTGTTGGATCTGTTATGAATTACAAGTCTGACCCATTCATGGCTGTTCCATTTTAGTCAAGTGGAAGACAAGTTCTCATTTATTTGCACTTTGCACTGATGCCCCAGCACAAAAACTTCCAAGCTGCTAATCAGAACTAAAGATAACAAAAATATCCTATGTGAAGGTAGAAAGCAGTGGAAATATATTTAAAAATCCACACTATGTCTTCTGATTCTTCATCACAACATGAAGGTATTGAGACTAATTTACTGACACCTCAAGTTCTTTCTAATTTAAACTGGTTTTAGGGCTCACTGCGAGGACATCTACATTTTTAAGAAACACCTCTAGCTGTCTGGAAAACCTCTTCTGAACGTCATATACATGTATGTGACATTGTAACTATACAGATTATGTCACTTCTCCAAGAAGTGCAAATAGGTAGTTTGCTTGGGTCACTCATTTAAATCCGTATCATGTCAGCTTTGCCTTATCATGCCTTGGTTTTAAATACAAAACTTAGCATCTTCTGTTTTCAGGTGTGCTTGCTCTGTTCTAGCTTCCAGTATTCACATTAAAAATGTCCAGAAACAAGAATTACTGCCATGGTAAGACATGGGTCTAAACCAGTGGCCTGAGAGCCAGAACCTTCCAAACAGGCAGGCAGCTATCTGCTCCTTAGGCTGGGAAGAAACTGCCCAGGAACTCTTCTAGTAAACAGAAATCATTATGAAAAGGTGGCAATAATACTAATCAAAAATCTGAAAGCTTTCCAAACAAATACTGGAATAACTGTTCAAATAAGAAGTTTTCAATACTGATACCTCATTTTTTCAGTTTGCCTTAAAAAAAAAGAAAAAAGAATCATACAATTTTACTTTTTTTTCTCAATCTTCCATGCCAACAATCTTTCACAAGTTATCCTTTGAGTGTACCAGTTGAGAATCGATTATCTAAAGTTCTCAAATGTCATGTCTTACATACCTGCAACTACTCCAAAAGGCTTAGCTAAAAAAGACTGAGAGGAAAATATTTGTGTTGATAAAAAGGCAAGCCACATTTAATGGCTGTCCCAGAAGCAGAAAGCTGTTGCTGCAGAGATGTTCAACTGCATTTTCAAAGTCTAGTATATTGCCCTGCTCTACCAGCTGTACATACAAGAAAGATTTTGTGATTAACTATACCTTAACAGAACCTGTTGGCAATCAGGCTCTACAGATACTGTCCGTAACAGATATTCTGATATTTATACTACTACAAACTAATAAAAATGTGCCACAGTGCAACGTAGTACAGGAAAATAAAAATGAAACAGTAGTCTATTATGATCTGTTATAAAGCTAACATAGGCATTTAGAATATTACTTCACAAGTAGCAAATCAGTCCTCTCAGATAAGATTATTGAGAGAGTATAGTCAACAGCTCAAAGAAGAATGGTCAGAGAGAAATGAACAAGCTAAGAGTACCATCATGTAGCAAGTCTACAGAGTATCACTTGACAACCTTCCAGAAAAGCAGAAACGAAGACATGATTGTTTATACAATACAATAAAAATGCCTTGTGCATTGGTAAATAATTGGAGAGTGATCAGTTTGAGATGCTGCCATTAATTTTCAGATGATTATCCAAAATGTCAAGTAAAGTCAATGGGAGCTGTCAGCTTGGATCTTCTTGGGGAGGGAAGAAGAGTTAATTATGGGGAAAAAAAAAAAAAAAAAAAAAAAGGGAATGCTTTAAATCAGCATCATTTCTGAAGCCATAGATTTCCATGTAAAAACCCCCTACAGAGTTGGCAGAGATCAAGACTGTGCTCAGACCTTGTGGCAATGAAAATGCAATACTCAGTGACTATTCTTTCAGTATCCAACAAGTGCAGTTTCATTGTTTTGGAGATGTTCTAGGACCCTGAATAGACAAGCACATTTCCTTGCAATCATTTTACTGTCAGATGTTTTAATCCTGCATGGAATTACAACAGCATTACTGCCAAATCACACTAGCAGGGCAGTACTTTTAGGACTAACCAGAAAATGAGAAGGACACTGACTCACCCAGCACAGGAAAGTACACTAAAAGTAGACACTGCTAGGGAACTAAAATCTGAAACAAAAGTCCTGTGGAGGGAGAGTGGAACAAAGAAGGAATAAAATAGTTCCCATAAATAGATAGTAAATGTGTGTTTTCAATGGAGTTATGAACATAGTCAAATAGCATAACGTAAGAGAGTTCGTATACTGGCTATACAGTGGAGTGGAAATTTTTATTTTTATTAAATACATTTTATTTAATTTAATCTTGAAAAATTAAAGCTAGTTAAATCTCTTATGTCTTCAACTAACTCCTAAATAACTGTGTTCCCTATCATCTGAGTGGTTTAATCTTTAATGGATTTATTCACGATCTCACTTCCCCCATCACAGTCAGGCAAAAAAGTGTTTCTCCTGCCACACTACTTAGGACCTTCTTTAGTTATCAAATTACTCCATGGTGACTGTGCATAAAACATCTTTTTCTAATTCGGTGTTGTAAGCCTAATGCAAATCTCTCACAGCCAGACAAGCTCTAAGTGAGTTACCCAAGACAGCAGAAGTTCAGGCTGGCCTCCAGTTCGCCCTGTCACTGTCACCACCTCACTTTACAGTCGAGCAAGATCTCACACTGCCTGAGAAGGCTCCACTTTGTGCTACTATAGAAATGTAGTAACGGAGAACATGGGGTTTATTGCGATGAGGTCTTGTTGAAAAGACATAATTGTCACTGGTGTTTATGGAAATAGGATCGGGCCTTTGATGTGATGGAATAAACTGCACATTATACTACATTATGTGCCAGTTAAACACGGATGAAAAGAAACAGGAGCTCCGTAATGCACAAAATTACCACCACACAGTTTGAGTGTGTGCATAAACACACACATACTTCAGTCTTCAGCTGGAAAGATTTCTCATCATAGGATAGCACTTCAGTGTGCCAACACTATGGTTGCAATCATCTTGCTAGATGTTTCTGTAACTCTTGGTAATGTTAACGGGCATTAAATGTATTTTCCGAGGATGTACACCCCTCTGTTTAGTACCCACTGCCACTATGCCTTCCAGGTACACTTTTCACAGCAGAATAGGGCTTTCGCTCTTAGCAAAAATTATATTAATATTTAAATGTTAATATTTTAGTAATCTGTTAGCTCAGCACTGTGTTGACCCCTTTCACAGGGTTTTTTTGCTTAAAAATGCACTCAGGACAACTGCTGATCTGCCTGTGAAAGATTCTGTAGCAACCCTGTGAGTACAGGTGACCTGAGTGAGCTTCACAGTGAAAGCTTTAGCCTTCACCATGCTTCTTACACTGTCTGAACCTGACCTCCACACTACCAAAATGCAACTTTGAAGCAGCATCAGTGATACGCAAATAGTGCAAAACTAAGTGTTTCACTTATAGCTACTGTGTGTTTTACATATATCTACAGGAATTACGTTTAACCTGTAAATGACTACAGATGAAAGCTTTGAGCAAAATATAAGTGTCTGTGTGCAATTATAACTGCTCCATGTGACACCTCCCAACAGTTGCAATCATGGCAATGTACTATCACAGCACAAAAATAGGATCTAGACCAAAGCGGTTCTTACATAGACATTCCTCTGACAAAAGAAAGAGACGGATCTTTTACAATTAGAAGAGAGTAAGACTCTAAAGACAGTTGCTGTTCTTCAGACCAAACACAGAGCATAAATATAAGCAAATATTTCAGGGGAAATATAGATGGAAAAGGTGTAAAAGGAGTATGGTTTCATACCATGAAATTATGTTTAAATTTCAGCTCCTCATGTCCTAGGAGAAGATTCTGTCACTACCTTTACACTAAAAATATTTCTTCTTGCTGATGTGCACCAGTGATCAGTCGAAAAAGACCACAGTAAATGACATCAAGATCATTTGTACCTCTGATTAATTCTAAAGATGGAATTCTAAATTTTTTGCCCTAAAAATAAAAATGCTATTGTATAATCATCCAATGTGTTATTGACAGTTGCTTATTTTTAGTGACTTTCAGGAGGCAGGAAGGAGAAGAACAAGTCTTTGATGTCTGTGGTTCCAACAGTAAAGAGCTGGAGACTTCTTTGAGAATAATTTAAATCTAATCAATTTAGCTCAGCTGGTACAACATTACAGCAAGAAAAAGATTTAGTTGTACAAAAAAAAAAAAATCGATTAATGAGAAAATGCATAAAAAAGAAGAGGACTGATCATTTGAGTGGCAGGAGTTGACTTGCCATCCCTAAATTCTCCTTTCCACATCATCTGCTCTTCTGTGAAGTCCTTTGTACCAGTGCTAAGAAGGTTTAAAACTACCAAATATATCAATTACATTTTATACTGCATTAGCACATGTGGAACCCACACTACAAAATGCAGGAGGGTAGAAAATCACAATTGGATCTGACATGAAAAGACATCATTAGACCATCACAGAGGTAGTGTTCTCCTTGACTGAAGAACATCTGTAAGCTACTGAAATACTTTTCACAGCATGAAAATAAATCTCTGTGACCCAAACTAAAAACTAATACTTTAAGATTACCAAAACTCCCTCAAAAGTAAACACGACTAGCAAGCAAACTACAGGAATTTTAAGCAGGAAACATATTCTCTTCTGAACAGGAAAGAAGGTAGAATATTCTAATACATAGGTGCCAAGAAAACCACAGTGGATGAAGACAGGGTTACCTACCCCTAACTAAGGATGACAAGAGGGTGACCAGTCCCCCCCTCCACACCACTCAGCTCAGAATGGTCTTCGGATTTTGCAGTGCCACCACACAGCCACATCTGAATTGCTTTTCAACTGATAGTTGCTCAGTCTCCAAACGTGTGCTTTCACAGTTGGGTTCACATGGCTCAGAGCCCCTCGTAAGGACCTATTCAATCCACAGAGAGCGCAAGTCTGCACACCAAGCCACAGCATCCTGCAAAAACCAGAGCGTTCCTGACTTCTGTGTCTGTGCCCTGTGGCCACCCGAGATCATACAGGCTCTTAGTGAGCCACATCAGCGCTGATCCAGGTGACCATGTAACCGTCTGATGGCTAATATTGATGCAAGCAAGGCAGTGGGAATACACAGGCAGAGGGAAGGCAGGACCTTCTCTCTGGGTGACAGAGAGCTTGGCCCTGGTTGTCCTAAGCCACCAGAGTTGGCTTTGGTATCCTAAACCAGCTGCAATCGTATCCTTCAATAAGTCTATGTAATAAGTTACACAGACCTCTATCATGTATTTTTATAGGCACTATATATACCTAAACTAGGTATTATTCCTGTTATCCTTCAGAAGAGTATTCTAAATAGGAAATACATTGTTCAACAACTGAGAGTGATTTTAATGCTAACCAGCAACCCCCTTCTTTCTTCAAAGTATCATTTAATCTGAATTTCACTTACATGAAATGAAGAGAACATGTGAAAGTCTAAACCTGTGTATAGATAAACCTCAGCTAAAAGACTGCTGCCTCAGGCACCCAGAGCATGACTGAGGTGCAACTTCACCACCTAGATCCACAAGTATGATTTACAAAAGCTGAAGCTTAAACTCCTTACGTATCCCATGTTCAAGCTAAACATCCTCCATGTGCCAAGCATTCAGCATCTGAAGGGCTGGCTATAGGTAAGGGCACCTAGGCACGGATTCCAAATGTTAGGTCACAAAGAGATCCGCCAAACTGCAGCTCTGGGGAAGGAGCATCCCTGTCACAGGACAGGATTTCAGATCGGACTGCAGAAGTGGACACAACCACTTCCACTGGAGAGTGGAATCTGCTTAACTGAGACTGTTTCATCTGAATGGCTTATGCTGAAGACAAGTAAAGCTGGTAATGTACTAAATCCTACTCTGAAACCTTACCGTTTGCTATGAGCTGGCATTACACACCTCTTTGCTTAGCATCCTGCTTACTTCAGCAGCTATGCAGAAGTCCCTGAAGTTCTGTCCTTATTAGCAAGCAGTGAGGCTAAAGAGGGGGGGAGAATATTACTAGAGTGACCAGGTTGTGCAGAGGAGCCAAGGGGAAGGTAGCTTCTCCTTCAAGCCAGCTCTAGCCTGGTTCCACGGGCTGAACAACCGCAAGTGGCTGGAGGACACCTTCCAGTTCAGCATCATCTAGAAGCAATCCAGCAAATGCTCTCCAAGGTGCTCTGAGATTTAACCTGAAGTAGAGCTGATCAAACAAAAAGTGCTGAAAGAGCATTATACTGCGCCCTTATTCACCACATAGATTGTACTAGGCACCTAAATATTTTGCACAGAACAGGTGCCTGAGCCTTTTGCTGGACCTGTCTGTAAATCACAATGTCAGTGACACTTCATCCTTCCCTAAGTAAAACTGATACCACAGGTGAATTCTGAATGCACCTTGGTGCTACAGAAGTCAGTGAAAATCCTTTGGGACCAGAACTACACCTTCAAAGTATTCCATTTTTGTCTATTTTCTTATGAACCAGTTGGAAAACGCTTTCCTAAATCAACCTCTTGAGAAACCTTACCATTTACCTCTCTGCAAGCTCACTGCAGTGCCTGGTGCTGTCCCCACTGCTGAGCAGCCCGGTGGGGTGCAGGGCACCCCTGCCTCCCCTCCACCGACGGTACTGCCCTCTGGCCGGATGCTCACCAAGGAATTTTCCTGTCAAAAACTATCAGAACCAAGAGAAAGAAGGGAGGCAATACCTTGCTCCCTTCTGCAGTGCCATCACGAGAAGGCAGCACCCAGGCTGTCGGTCGGAGGTTGTCCCCCACCCGCCGTGCCCCCGGTACCTCAGGGAAAGGGGTTGGCAGTGCCTGTGCAAAAAGAGGGCCAGGCCTGGCGTGGGTGCGCCGCGCCCCGTTGGCGGGGTGCCCTGTGGGGTGTGGGTGCTGGTGGGGGGGGGCGATGTGGGGGTGTGGGCAAGAGGCCCTCTGGGGTGGGTGCCCAGTGGGACGCAAAGGTGCGGTGACCGGGGGGGTGTGGGGAGGCCCCGAGGGGTGCAGAGCTGGGGCCGGGGTGTGGCGGCGGGGGGGGGGGGGGGGCAGCGCGGCCCGGCGAGCCCCGGGGGCCGCGGCGCCTCCTCCCCCGCCCAGAGACCCCGAGTGGGGGGGCGGCACTGCGGCCTTCCCGCGGCAACCCCCCCCCCCCCGGAGGCGGCGGCGGCGGCGGGGCCGGGCGGCCGGGCCGTGGAGGCGCCGTCTCCCTTCCCCTCTCGCTCCTTCCTCCGCCGCCGCGCCTCCTCCCCCCCACCCCCCACCCCGCCGCTCCCTCCCCGCCTCGCTCTTCCCTCACCCGCCGAGGAGTGGATCTTGGAGGATTTCCGCTGCAGGGACATCCTCAGCGCCGTGTCGAGCCCGTCCGTGTTGGGCATGCTGCGGCCGGGCGGGCAGGCGAAGCCCGCGGCCGGCTAGGGCGGCGGCGGCGGCGGCGGCGGGCTGGCCATGGGCCCCCCCTCACGCAGACGCCGCGCTGCGGTGGCGGCCGCTGGCACCGCCGCGGCCCGGCTGCGGGGGCGGGCGAGGCGCTAAGCCCTCGCCGGGCTCGGCTCGCCGCCGGCGGAGCAGGAGGTGCCCCCTCCTGAGGAGGGGAGGGCGAGGGCGGGGGGAGCCGCGTCCTCCCGTCCTCCGCCACCCCTGCCCTCAGGGCCGGGGCCGAAGGCAGCCCCTCCGGGCGCGGGGGGCTGCCTCTCCTTCCCCCTCCCCCCCCCACGCCCCGGGGGACACCGGCCTGGGGGGGGGGGGGGGGGGGGGCGGTGCGGCCCGACGGCCCCGGGCGCCTACCGGGCTCCTCCGCTAACGCCACCGGGGCCAAGGCGGGCTGCAGGGCCGGGGACCGACCGCCTCCTCACCGCCGCTGAGGGAGACAACGGCCCTCCCGGCGTTCCTGTCCCGTTTGGCAGGTTATAAACGGGCTCGGTGTGGGCCCCCGCTGCCTCACATCCCTGCTGCCATCTGTACCTCAGCAAGGAGCGACTCCGCCGGTAACACAGACCCCCACCACCCCGGGTACCCACTGTGAATCATTAGGTAAGGTATGATAAAAGTCGGGGCCTAGGGGAGGGGGTTGAGGTGTCCGTCTGAAACTAGTGCTTTGCTGACGCTTCAGGCACATAAAGCATCTCAGCAAAGCCCCCGCTGGGATCAGGGTCCCTAACCCGGCTTTTTAGTTCCAGTTAAAAGGACATCCTTCCTCACTGTGGCGTGCTGCCAGGCTCTTCACAAAAGATACCATTCCTCCTCCACTTAAAATATCTGGTAAATCAAGGATAAAAAAAGAAATAGAGGAAAGATGAATCAATATACCACTTAACTCTTACAGCGCGTTGCTTTTCTGTGCAAAACATTTGCAACCATGAGAATTTACCTGCCAAGGACAGGCAAAGAAAGAAGTAAATTGAAGGGCAAAAAATTAACTAAAAAAAAGCCTCTCAATATTTACAGATGCTGGTCTCAATCAGGCATAGCTAGCAGTGGATGCCACATCTTAAGGGGTTGCCTTCTCTATTTGGTGATCTTCAAGGTAGGATGGTTTAAATGAGGCAGAAGTTCACAGTGGATGAGGATGTATTGAGTTTTGGAAAGACCAGCTGCATAAGAAATGGTTCCCAGTACCTTGAAGGTCTGTGAAAAATGGCCCTGAATCTGTATCTAAACAACTCTACCATACGGAGTTGGCTAGCATACATGACGGGGAATTTGAGTGTTATTTCAAAGATCGTAAATAATACTAAACTGCCGAATCTCACAGTACTTTGCTGTCCTCACATATAATATGGAAACTGGTACTTTCCAGCTAAAACTTCACAAAAAGTTGAAAAGAGAAATTTTGTTGACAAATGCAAAGTAGTACAGAACTGCAGCATTTTACACTGACTTCACTGTATACATCATAGTCTACCTGGAGATGTTTGCTTTGGGACAGGACTGCTGCAGATACATATTTCATGGCCTGTGAGAAGCTTTTACTCTTGTGGGTTTTATCACTCTGGGCGAAGGCTGTCCCAAGAGATTTTGTGATTGAAATCATCCAGTAAGGGCAATGCTGAATGCTGGCATTCCTGCATGCCTTTCCCATTTTAAGCCCATGACATGGATCTGGTTATTTTCATGAACATGATTTTCTCCATCAAGCTTACTCTTTTGCCTCTCCACTTACTATTTTCTGTTGTGGTCAGTGTTTTCACACCAGTAGGAATTGCCTAGGGAACAGAAAAACAATTCACATATGTTGTTAGCTAGTAGACAAATTAAAGTGAAGTTCGCTTTGGGTTCAAGCTGTCGGATCAAAGTCAAGGAAAGTGCTTCAAAAAAGGACCAGAAAAGAATGGTGGATCCTGGTTTCACATCTACTTTTTCTTCAGAAATTATCCCTCAGGTGAACCGTGTTTACAGTACGCTGCAAGTATTGACTGTAAGCTGTCAGCCCCGCCAGCCTGCAAGCCCAAGTAGCGGCTAAATGCATTCGTTCCTTCCCAGGCACTGCACTCGCTTTCACCTCTGTGCCCCCAGTGTTCTCCAAGAGTGCTCCAGCTAACACACCATCTGGCCTGCTTCTACGCAGGGCTACTCAGTCACGTAAACTTGACTACTCAAGCTCCTGAAAGAGATTTAATTACCCAACCCACACCTATCTCAACAGCCTGAGATGTGTCCCTGTGGAAGGCAAATCCCTGAGCATTAGCAACCAGGCGTTTCAGTGATGCTTAATGGCACAGAGGAAAGAAAAAACATCCTTGCCCCTGCATAGACTGTGAGCATCAGGGGACCTGCCTGCCATATCTGGCTCCAGTCACAAGTTGATATAATCGTACACTGCAGTCTAATGGGAAGTCAGGGGGAGAAAGTGGACTGAAAAAGTGTCTAAGGAAACCAAGTGTGCAGAATAATCTCAGAAACTGAGAAGGAACCTGAGTCCTGCTGAGCAGGCTTAAGAGTAGGGCCCACAGGAAGGCCAAGTGTGCAGTCCGGAGGTGAACATGAGTTGCTTGTGTTTCTGAACCAGCTGAGAAGTAGTACATTAGCCCTGAGTTTTGAGAAAATAAACAGATTGTTCAGAAGTGCAGGACTCACCTTTGTCATTTTGTTATGCAATGCCTGTCTTTCTCATAGCGCTGATGTGCACTAAATTGTATATTATCAGACCATGAGTCATGGCCGTGTGATTCCCTGGGGTCTGTCATAATGGCTCCATGGTTTGAATGATATACAGAAAACCAGGAGTTGGTATTTTTCAAATTACAATGTGCTCACTTTTCTAGTATTTATAGCAATGTACTTTCAAAGAGCTCAGTATGCATAATAATTATTTTAATGTAATAAATAAAGCAAAGGCAGGAAAATGGTCCTGTGGTTAATGTGCCAGGCTGAGAGACAGGATATCTTTATTCTATTTCTGACTGTGCCAGATACTGTCTGGGACCTTGGAGAGATTGTTAAGTCCAAATTTCCAAAAGATGCATCTTTTGCACCAGTTACTAATGTTATGCACAGAGTTCTGGAAAAAAAAAAAAAAAAAGAAGAAACGCACTGTACTCAGAATTTAATAGTAGTATAGCAGAAAACTTAACAGTCTAATCAAAGAACTATTAGGTAAAAGCCAATCATTGCAGAAAAATAAAGAAAAGAAGAAATAATAATCCAGTTGGCTTTTTTGTGGACCCACTCTTCCTGTCTGTCCTTTTTCTGGTGTTGTGCTTACCCTCCCACTGCCCCTCTGGCACCCAGGATTGACAGTGCCAGCCTTCCTCAAGCAGTAGGTGTTGGGGCTGCAGCTACTCATCGGTGTCTTCCTAACAAGTTCTTTGCTGAGAAAAGCAAAGAACTATCACAGGTCTATTTTTATACATTTTTAAACATGACTTTACACCTTGCTCTTTCTTCATTTGTCTACAGCTCCACGTTACAGCCAATTTTACTGTATGTGATGCCATTTATGTATGTTACATACTTGTTCTTTCTTCTTTTTGTTATCTCTAAACCAGCTTTTCCCAGCTTCGAGCTCTGCACTGCTTCAGCTGACTACTGGAGAGCTCTTTGTAGGCCTGAGTTCTCCAGTGCCAAGGCTGTGCCCCCTTTTTTATCATCCTATGCCTCCTGCACAGTGTCCCGTGTCCCCACTTTTAGGGGATTCTGCTGTCATACCAGGCCTGTATTCCTCTACACTGCATCATTATGTTAGTTATAAATATCTCGTTCTACACAGTATAACTTCTTGTCACTCTCCGTGTAAAAGCTACAGTTGTACTATACAAAGTTAAGCAAAAGTAAAACAGACAGTCATAGCCGCCTGCTCCTTAGAGATACTGCTGTTACAGCTAAAGAAAGTAAAAAAAAAAAGCCACCGACAGATGAAGAAAAGCTGAAACAAAACAAGACTCAGTCCTGAGGCCTTGCAAAGTCAGTACAAAGCCTGTGGCCTCCTACCAGCAGTGGTGCTATTGGGCTACAGGACTAGAGTAATCGCACGCAAGTTCTGCTTGTCTAACTCTGGTTGTCTTAAGAAAACCCACAACAGACCGTCTTGGTCTTAAACCAAATCTTTGTGCTGTGGTGCTTTGCCCTTGTTTACATGCACAGGATCGAAACTACCATGATGCAAATTATATGCTGAGCTACATGGGAGGTATCTGTTACTCATCATGACATTTTTAAAAAGGTCAAAAAGCCAGTGCTTGCTGGTTCTGGATTCATAGAGGAAGCTACTTCCAGATCCAGAAAGTGTGCTTAGCATCACTCGACTTAAGAAAATACATGAAATCATTTATGGATCTTCTTCACAGAGATGATGTATCTCTATAGACTGATACAGGACGTGACCGTTAATACACGAACGTGTATTAATGAATGCACAGTCCACCTGTAACCTCTGACAGGATCCAGTAGTCTCCTATATCTTCTAGTGCAGAAGGGACTTCACTCAACAATACACTGCTCTTACAGCTAGCCGTAGCCCAAGGATTTAACTTGAAGGTGGAAAAAAATTATGATGAACTGCACATGCAGTGGGTGCATGGGAGAGGGGTGGCAGGGTGGAGTAAAGGTAAACCATTACCTGTCAGTGCAACGGTGGGAAAAAAGGTCAAATATTTGGAAATGTAGGCACTTAATTTTTCAAGTTCCATTCAAAGCTCATTCAAGACTACACAGCTCTTTCCTCTCATTTCCAGTGGCAATTTTGCATCCAGTGGAAAATAATCAGCGCCAGGCACATCGAGGTTTCCCAGATGACTTCTAAATAATGACACATGTAAATAAAATTACAGTGAGTGGAATAATCACACTGATATGTTGGAAACTGAAATTGGTACTCATTTGTATCAGGAGGTGATCTGTGATTTGCCTGAAAAATATTGAAAAACTGAAAAAATCTGAGCCCTTTCTATATTAACA